TGATGATAAGATGCAAATTTACGCGTGAAGCTCACAAACATCGCGTATATACAACGATAATTCGACGAAACATTTCCCCCAAACTGTCGGACTGAACTTATTTAGACTAAAGCTATGATCTAAAGTTGCCTCAAAGCAAGAACAGGACGTTGAAAAGACGTTTCTACTCACGAAAGAAGAACCCCAGGAGATTTTTAGTATCAATCCTAAAGTTAATTTGATTTATCTCAAACTATTGTAATATATATTTAAAATCTGAGTTGTGAGACATGATTTCGCATCAAAACTTCGTATAAACAGATATTCACTTCATATAACGTCTTGTTTTTAATAAATTACAAGTTGATAATATTTAAAATGTATTAATTGTTTCCACACAATAAACCTCTTAATATATATCTCTTTATTTATAAAAAAAAATTAGGATTAATAAAATTTTTTTTTAATTATTTTAAAATTTTATAGCAATACTTGGTTTCATTTATCTTTTTTAACGAGAGCACATGCTTTTTCTCTAAAAGCAGAATAGGTTTTTTAAAGCTTCAATGATTCACTATAAAAATATTTTTTGCATGTCAAGAAAGATTTAGGCAACGCTGATTTTATAGCACACTTCGTCACTAGACAATTTTATTGTTCCCCAGCATGGCATTCAACACTTTTTACGAGATACGTACACGTTTTACCGTTCACTTCTTTTCAGCACCGAAAATAAACAAAGCTATGATAACAATGAAATACGAATTAATATAAACTGCACCGTGATTTTCCGAATAATTAAATATTATACCGCGATTCAGAACAATTTATCTCAATTTGTTCAATAATGTCAAATTTCAACAATAAAAAGGCATTGTTTCATATTGCAATTAAATAATACTGTAAATATTATGACTATTATCTTTGAATCAATATTGAATACTCGATTTGCTGCTAAAATTTTCTATTTATTTTACGTTATTTTACTATATTATCTTTAATTTGTGTTATAAATTCGTTAAAGAGATATAATGCGCTGCAAAATAACTTTTTATATTTACGATAAATTTCACCAGGTTGTTAGACAAAAACATAGATCGAGATCACGTTACGAATTCCGAGTAAGACCGGAATTTAGTCTTGAAATAACTACTTCATTAATCTAAATCCAGCAGACTGTCGCACATCATCATGCATGTTATTGCCAAAGTCGAAGCGTGTGAAAATTTATTTCTACATTCTATGTAACAAGTCAAGTCGCTAAACGCATAAACACATAAAACATATATTTATATACACAACGTAGACAACATGGAATAAGCAGTTACATTACAGTTGCATTAGATATAAATTTAAAGACTCCGCAATTTATTTGTTAAAATTTAATATCAGTAAAATAAAATTTTACAAACTGTACGTTCGTGAAACTTTTTCATAGCATAACTAATTTGTACTTAAATACGCCTATTAAGTGACGTTTACAATGAAATTTTAGGGAATAAAACTTAAATTTTATATCTTAAGCCGTAAAATATTGATTAATCACAGTAGAACACTAATCAACTTTTGAATTAATCAATTTTTTACGGCTTAAGACTTACATCTTAAATTTTACGCTTCAAAATCTCAAATTGTGGATGTCGCTTTAATCTGCGTAACATTGTTATTTAAACTGAAAGTAATTTGAAAATATTTAGTAAAAATAATTTACTTAGAAATATATTAATATTCAATATATTTTTATTAATATTTTTAATAGATTAAATAATTATAGATAAAACCCAAACAATTATTATATTATTCAATACCTGTGAATACGTCCGAATAAACTTTTGTCAAATATTTATGCGATCATTGAATTCATACGCTTCAATGGACCCGAGACATCCCAATTAGGCGCTTATTTGCAATTATCATTGTTCTGGATTTCAACTCAAATCGTATACACTTTGCATATACGTGGCAGCGGCGCAGCTATTTAAAGATTTTCCAATACAACGCTCGAATTTATATTCGAACACATATATTCCAGACCTACCCAAAAAGCTTTTGTATTTTGTAAGGTCAATGTCACGCTCGATTTTTCCACGCGATTGAATGACACATCTTAAAATATCAGTCATTATGATGTAATATCGAGTTATTTTTCAAGTTCTACACATAGTTTCACACATAGTATTCGCATTTAGATATAGTCTGGTACATGTGTTACGTCTAGAAAATATGTGGCTATTATGAATAAAGAAATACTTCACGTTCTAGTTTCAGTTTATGAATAATATCCGAAGATAGATATACTTTCATAACTTTTCTTTATGAAAAAATATTCAAGTGACAAAAACATGATGTATTGCAATTTTTTTAGAAAGTTTCAACTCAACGTCAAGAATAAGAATGTCGGCTTTGTATCGTTAAAAGTATACTGAAATATTTATGTTGTAGTACATATTAAACTAATTAGACTTTAAAAAAGTTTCCATATTAATTGTGTAAATGAATCGGACAAATTGTTGTTAAAGGATAAAATTAATTTCACTTAATACGACAATCTGAAAATAAAATCTGTGAATCATCTCGCTTCGTTACGATGCGATTCACGGAATACATCGTTAGCCGCATGTGACGTTTATCTGTTCGTGATATATGTGCATCGCGATAAAGTAGACACGAGGTGCACTGTCTTACGCCTCCCAACGCCATCACTATCACTTCAGGTGCAAAATATTGGCAACCATATGGCGACACATCCGCAATATTGTATCGCGATAACTTAAATTAACGTCACATCTCTGTGATTAATGTAAGTTGTGAAATACACTTCGGTTTCGTTTTACGGTCTCAGACGACATTTAGATGAAGTAAGATAGCACCAACAGGTGTAACTTAGTTAAAGTATAAAGAGATCTCGTTACAAATAGTTGACAAACATTTACAGAATACTTATTTAACAAATAATAATGATAACATTTTTGTTATATTAAAAAATTTCATCTACGTTTGATTAATTATATATCATATTTTAATGTGTATGATTTTTATATAATCACTTTTATAAATTAAATAAATTTTATGAGTTAAAAATAAAAATAAAAAAAAAAACCTTTAGTATTCCTAAATTTTATGTCACTAACTTATGCCAATAGAATAACATAATTCAATAAATTTCATAAATATCACAATGACAAATATAGATTGCTTGGCGATTATATACATTAGTATCGAAAGCCTATTCGAGAAATTCCGCCATAAATATAATATTTATTATTATTTCAATTTGCCTTGCACCTCATAAAAGCTTATAACGCCAACCATATGTCGGAGAAATACATTGGCACTACCAGCATATAATCCAGATTTACATCAACTACTTCCAGCTGCAACTGTCAAACTGATATACACGTTCAGATTGCGCGTCGAAGTAAAAATTTCTTAAATTTAGTATGATTTATCAAAATAACGATTTTCGAATTAATGCTCACAGAATCTGTCCAGTAAAACACACGTATATGCTATGTAAAACATTCTACCTGGATAAATGTTTGTCTACCGGATGAAAAAGCCGGAAATCGAATTGGCAGTATATTTTTGAGCAAAATGAAATATCGATCAATACATTTGTTGATTGAATATACAGAAACTCTCACGACAAGAAAATTACAAAATAATTTGTGAGACGGGAAGGCAAATGCACCAATTAATATATTTTAATGGATAGTAAATATGACAATTCATTTGTAAATGTCAAGACGAAGTAAACTGCAAAAATGTTGGACGAATAATTGCGCTATTGGAAACAAAGAAAAGGAGAGAATGAAAACGAAAATGGAGAAAGAGGTAAAAGCGTGCTTAAGAGTTAAAATCTTCAAGCTCTAGCTATATGAGCTTTTAATTAAATTGAGACGATGAGCCGTTAATGGAATATAAAGTCACGTTTCAGCAGGCTCGAAATTAACGGGTGCTTGTACACATCACAAAATTTTAGCTCATTTTACTGCATATTAAAGATAAATTGCCCATTACACAACCACAAACAATGTCAGTCTTCTCTATAATAAATATTAATGAGGTACATACTTTGTATCTTGTACAGTTTGAAATTTTCGACATTAGCTTTTTTACTCGCCGCAGTCTACACAACTAACAATGTTATTATACAGCTGTGAATAAAGAGATTATTAGATTATATAATCTCTCTACTTACTTTATAGGAAGACTGTACTTTTTGTTATCAACAATAAAGATAATATTCACGATAATAGGATCAAGGTTTCGCAATGTAAAGCAAAAACATCATTGTGTTCGCACTGCGCCATGTAGATACTTCGGTGTAGTAACGCAGTATTGTTAGCACTTTCGGTTATCGCGCGAGCAAGAAGCCTTCAGTCGTCTCTTTAATTAGTGGTTCAATCGCGGGAGAGACGTAAGAAAACGAGCTTTGTGTGACCGGATAGCTATGTGAGCGCTTGAACAGAAGCAGTGCAAACAATGTCGAATGACATCGACCCGACCGCCAGTGCGAGCGAGGGAGAGAAACGGCGGGAGAGCTCAAAGCTCATCTATTATTGGCGCAAAACAGAAATAAAATGCAGTGCGACGGCCTGTGAAATCTACGAGGCTGACGTGCTGCCAACTTTTGTTCTCTGTGGCTTTGGCTTCAATATTTTCAATTCCCGTTATAGTCTGTGTCGCAGAATTGTGCCACTTTTCCGTCCCGACTCTTCTGCAGAGTTAATACGAAAGAAAAAAAAAACAAGAAACTGCACTGCATGTTCAACAATTGTTCTGTATTGGGACATATTATGAATGCTACAGCTTTTTCTCGTCCTATATTTTTAATGTTAAAAGATTTAATTTGAGAATAAAATATAATTTATGACTTATATATTATTTTTTTATACACGGCAGTTTTAAAAATATATGTTAAAAAAATTACGTGACTTGCATTTAAAAAAATTATAAACGCATGAAAGAAAAAAAAAATTGATCGTACTAGCGTTAATAAATTGAAGTGAAAGACTTACCACAGTGATGGGGTAAACTGGATTGATAATTGTGAAGAGGAGGACGTGGTTCGGTTTATTATTGTCTTCTCTGAAACATTAATTGATACGTATTATTCCAGTGAACGCATAGAGAACTTTAATGAAGTTCGCCTTACGGCATAAGTGCATGATAAAATCATGAATTTCTATCATTTGTCCTCGTTAAAAGGAACTCCAATTATTTGAAAATTCAATTACGGAAGCCCGCTTGAAAACGAGGCCTGGATTATCGCCGAGTTTGCAAAAACTAGTTCGCCAATAATAATTCATTCTTCGTTGACTGCAGCACGTCTTGCTGACGTCGCGTAAAATCGAATTGATTGCACTCGTTGAAACTAGAAATATTATCCCGGCTTCGTTTTTACATGAATTGAAAATAAAGGAAATCGAATTCCGCAGATCTATACGTATAAATTATATCAACAACATCTACATCACTGTCACATCCGTGAAATTAAAAATGTCAAACTTCGTCAAATTTCCTTTTCAATATTAGAATTAATTTATTGTACACCGCTAGTAGCATATACGTAATTCTATTATTGAATTGTGAAGGATATTGTACAAAATGTATTCAAATATATACATATATATTTTATAGAAAATTCCCAATTCAAAAAATATTTTTGATATATAGAGTGTACGTGGATTGCACATGTGCATCATACAGTGTAACGGATTATGACGTCAAGAATAGGAAGATAGGTATCTCGCATTCTTGGTTGAGGAAAAAGCAAAACGAAGTAATCTCCAGCCGAGATTTGACATGCTCACGTGTTGTATAGTGAAGCAACCGACCGATGATGGACATCGCACGATATATTTTTCACAGTTGATATCGGTATATATCTCTTTTTCGTGACTTGCATCCAACGTAAAAATCAATCGCTGTAATTTTTCCACAAGTGAAATGGCGAGAGTGCCATTGCAATAACGTCTAATAACATGGAATATCCAATTGCGAGGATACAAATCGATACAAATTGAATTACTACTTGTGACGATCATTGTTATTCGAAGCTTATTTGTATCAAGTTCTCATGTTTGCGATACGGCTTATTATTCATAGGATATCTCGAAATGGATGAAAACACGTCTGCAATAATGCTCCAACATCTTTCTCAGTAATACTTCCAACAAATAAGTCTGGAGAAGTCTGGAGTTTAAAGATTTGACGTACATGAAGAAATGTATCTCTCTCTTTCTCTCTCGATCGCAAAAATAAAGATCATAGATTTTGAAATTTCACGAAAATATAAAACTCGTGAATAAAGATTAATTTAATATCGTTTTGCTATACCGTTCTCGATTCTTATTGCTCATCTAACATCTAATATCTGATATCTGCATCTGTAACCGTTCAATGATTCGCCAGCTCGAATTCACTTTACCCAGAAGTTATCGTGAGTTCGTGCAGTAGATATCATTCGCTATCGGATTGCCTCTGTTGGATTGAATCATGCTTAATGCTCGACTTAACTTCTTATTATTAGATTTGGACTGTAGGATAGCAGCAGTAGGGTCAAACTTTGTGACAACCGGCTGCGTTTTAATTAATTTTCGCTGTCGCGATGTATAGAACGCGTCTTGGCGCTTATCAGCCATCCAATTCCACGCTTGAGCGTTCTCTTAATGGCATGTCATTGATATAATAGAGCACAAATAAGAACGTATTTCTGGATGAAAGACCGCATTTGCATTTTCATTGGAAAGAGCAAATATAATTTTAAAAAGTCATGTAATAATTTAACTTAATTTAATTTAATTTAATTTAGTTTATTGCAAAGCTATATGAAAAAGACTATTATAAGATATAATTAATATAAAATGAAAAAATAATAATTTAAATAAAATGCGATCTGAAAAATAACAATATTTTTAAAAGTTGCAATATATAATGCGTAAATCTGATATCAACAGCTGAGAACGATTGAACGAGCGAATTGCATGTAATTGATTTCAACTTGTTTCTACAATATTACATATTAAGTGGCCTATGAGACTTGCGAGACAATCAAATGGCGCCATCAATAATGAAACTCATCATTGTCCAATTAAAAGTGTTGCAAAAGTTGATGGATCTAAAAAATGATAATCCACAGTAGATAATATATCGAGAAACTCAAGATGATGGTAATAAACTATTAATTATTAGTCAAAAATATTAATTTAAAAAAATAATTCCACTTAGAATCATTGATCACATTCTACGTAAAAAAATGTATAGAATTCTGTTTATATATATATATATTCATATTGATAAATTTTTTGCAATGACAAATAACTGTCGGTCATCTGTTAAAGTTCTATCAATTTCAATGCACAAACAAATCGATACAAGTATTTTTCTAACAATTCCATAATTTTTTATAAATATGATTTTATATAAGCGGATACATACAAAAATTAAGTCAAAGATTATTTATCCTTTTTATTTAATATTATTTAATTTTTTAATTTTCTGTTGTTTCTTTATTAACAAAACACATTTGATGTACGTGCAATTGCCCATAATTAGTTTCGAAAACAAACATACGACTTTCTATTTACATGAATCAATAATATATGCAAACTCACCTTTTTCGACGTGGTTCATCTCCGTACCCGCCATATTCGTGATTCTGCAACAAGAAATGAGCAGCGTTAGTAACTTTTCCTTGAAGACGATTTGTTAAACCCGCACGGATAAAACTCCTAATGAATTTTATCTGAGCGACATCATTCGCCTTGCCATCCGCCATGCGGTCAGCAAGTTCTCTCGAAAATACGACTTTCGCGTAACTACTTGCAAGTCGAAAGTGCGCATTTCCCGAGCAGCATGGTTTCTCTTCCCTGTGTTCACGTTACAGCAACATGTGTTATCGTAAGGAAAATCGTGTAAGACAAATTTGCACGTCGATTTTGGATAAATTTCGATGGTGCGCGCGACGTCACTAGTGGATACGTCGTGCTCGGTCAATCTATTAATACGCGTGCATACGTCTTTTTACCATGGCACCCAAAGCGACGGAAATAGTGCAGCGGGACACCTTAAGGTCTGTGTGACGTATGGACTTAGGTAAATTCTTGCGACCCAATCTGAATCACATAATTAAGGGACGCAAAAAAGCAAAACTTGCCATTCCCAATCCTTCCAAAATTAAAGATTTAGAGATGTAACTGTATAATTTACAGTAAAACTAATGATCTAATTCAGGGTTATCGCAAATTTCTCATCCTAAAACTCTATAATTTTCCCTGATTTCTAGACAAAATTTCAAGATTTTTCCTGATTTTCAATATTTGAAAATCATTAAATATTTTGTTGAGAGATCAATTTAACATAGCAAATTATAAATGTAAATTACTGAACTTGACTGAACTTGATGTTACTAACACTGTTTACATTTTTAATTGTTAAGTTGGTAGTATTTAAAAAATGTATAGATGTAACGTATATATTAAACTTTTTTAAATTCAAGAATTTTTATTTTCCAGAAATTTGCAAAATTTCCAGATTTTTCCTTGATTTCTCTGACCATTTTTAATTTCCCTAACAATTCCCTGATTTTCTTGAGTTCCAGTTTTGTGGCAATAAATTAAATAAGTTTAAGTCTTATTTATACAGTTTTTTTTTCCATATATCATACTTATAAAAAACATTTTTTCTACATTTTTAAAATTAATTTTAATATCCAGAATTCTTTCTTGAGGAAAATTAAGGCTTGTGTATTCGTAATCCATTCTTATTTCAAGACATATTAAATAATGTTTTAAAATGCTACAACTTCGTAATCGTTAATTTGTGTAATATCTTAAGACCTAACAAAAAAATAAGAACAGACTATAAATACCGACTTAAGAAAACTTCTTCTCTCTAGCAATCTTATCAGAATTCTGAAAACATAATTAATCCTTTTGGTGGAACCAGATATCATCAAAATTAGTTCGAAACTAATCAAAATGTCTATACAAAGACTCGTAACAAAATTATAGATGAGGTTTATCTATTTTTCATACCATGTGGCAAACCACCGCGACATGGTTAGTCATTGTACTTCCGAATATAATCCACCTTGTGAAACCGCGCGCAAATGTCAATCCCTTAGCGTCTAGTCGCTTCATAACGCGTAATGCGCAGCGCAGCGGGTGAATAAAACATGAAGCGGGGTACATTTGTACGTTGGAGTGACGTGTCGCTTGTCGTGGGTAAATAATTCATTCGCATTTTCCACAACCGTGAAATCCGAGTATTTACGCGAATCCAATTATCAGTACAAGATTATCCGGTAACTTGGTAAATTCTGACTCGAAAACACCTAAAACAATCATATATATATATATATATACTGTAACAGTTGCACGTGTTGCAATAGGAAAAATTAAAATTAAAAGCTACCTCATTTACGGAGAAATAAAAAAAGAATTGCAAATTCATAATGTTCTGAATATATTGCTTTCAGAATCATTCTGAATCTGTTATTTGAATACAAAAGCGATTATTCCATTTAAATACAATTATCTTTCTATTGTATGCTTCTATTATATATCTCGTTTACATTAACAAATGATTAAATGTTTATTAAATCAATTTATAAATGAAAACAAAATTTTTTTTTAAATTATCGAAAAATAATATTTATTACACATTATTGTGTTTCAGTATAACTGCGTGTCCGTCAAAAATATATAATTTAATACACATACATATAGAATATATTTCAAACTGGAATAAGTCCATTTCAAAACAAGTTACATAAAAAAATATCGATAATATAAACATTCCAATCAACACTCTACATTTTCACTGAAAAGAAAAAATTAAAAATTCATGAAAAAATTTACAAAAGTATAATAATTCTTATAAATATATGTTAATCTTTCAGTATTATTAAATGTTTTAATGATTATCGGCTCAAAGATAAAGACAAAAAACATGAACAAAAAAAAAACAAAGTTCATTCAATTGTGCATGAATCTGCATCGTTAATGATCCGTTTACAAAATTAATCTGAATGGCAAAGGTGACAAAGGCGGACTGTCACTTTGGTTTTGTGCGTAAAGTGAGACATTCGAGGAGTACCGTTTTCGCGGAATGTGTAGTCGTTAAATAATGAAGTCATAAAGACATGGAGCGATTAACGAGCTTTTTACTATTCCCATGAGAGGAAGTTAAACGTGACATGTTAAACGTGAATATTTATCATTAAATAAGAGATTGACAGAATTCTTATTGCCAGTTAGATTCTTTTAATTCTTTTCTGTGTCGTTACAAGTCAGCATGTTTGTTATTGAGATTACAGCCATTAGTTTGTCACGTATTTACCAAACACGATATACATATCATGTTTGATTAATTTGTATCTTCATTGTATCTTCTTCGTGGAACATCTCACTGAAATAATGAACACGTAATGAATACGGCGGTTTTAATGAATGTCTATTCTTCTTGTCACTAGGCAGCAATTACTGCAAGAAATTACGTTAAACATAAACAAAAACGTACAACATGAACTAGAAATGTCATCTTCAATAAAATACAAGGCTATCATTAGTCAAATTGTATAGAAAAAAATACTTTTACGATTACAACTAATAGAATTACTATCTATTTTTTTTTAATTTTTAAATACAACTGTGAAACTGAAAAATACTAGATAACTGTACACAAAAAAATTTTTTTGTTTCTTTACGTTTGTTTAACGAAATATATTTAAATCAGTTCTGCGATCACATTTTAATGTCATGTTTACACTTGTTGTTTCTTCTTTCCCCAAATGTTTCAATTTTCAGAGATCTTCTATCATTTTTCTCGATCAAACAAAAAATTGATGGAGCAAAACGGCACACAAATTCCTAGTTTGTTCCAATTCCCTAAAAAAAATTTTTGTTTAATTATTTTTTTTATTTAATTAATAAAATGTCGTACTGATTTTACAGATCTGATTCTTTTCCAATTAATGCATTAAACATTACATTTATATTTACCTCATCATATCTAGCTTAACACATTTATAGATACAAACGACTGGAGATACCTACTTTCAATAGACTTTGTAGTACACGAGGTGCGAAGCATCTAGCCGGAACGACATACGTTCACCGTTATGCGGATTCGCAAATGAGCGCAATTCGAGCGTCGCCGAGCGTAATGATTTATCATCAACGATCGCTCGTTAATTATTCGCCGTCGCGGTGTCGCGTCCATGACTTGCTAAATGCAGCTGAACGACCGCCGAAAAAGAATACCATGCGAATAAAGCGGTAAGAATCCGCTCGGGCGGATAGCCAAGCGGAGAGACTCCCGAGAGAAGAAGTCTGCGTAGATAATATCCAACGCACCGCATCCAACATCTCCGTCGTCACAAACGTCCTATAGCTCATGCATACTATCACCGTTACGAGGCAAAATACCGCGGAGATCTGTCATACGTTGTTATAAACATAACTGCTATTGGCGCGCGACCAACCACGTGCTTTCGCGCTCAATGGATGTCGCGCTGGTCGTCTGAGAAAAAAATCGCTGTGCTGATCACGCGAGATCATCATCCGGTTTGATCAATGTTAAGGAGGCGAAATGTTAACGGTGAAATGTTTTCATATACGATAAAATAAATAAATACAAATTTTTTTTCATACTTTGATTAATACATATTCGAGAAATATCGAATTTGTTAAAACAATTCATTTTATTTTTTAATTTTATTTCCTAAAATTTTAAAATGTTTTTTTTTTTATTTAAATAATAAACACTAATAATAAACACTATTAATCCAAATAATTTATAAACTGATGATATTATGAATAATATATGTACTATTTGAATATTGGTATTACTTTATACTCGTCTTACATCTAACGAAAATTTTTTTTTATCGTTGTTTCATATTTATCATATACATATATCGTATCTAGCGCATACACGAGGCAATTATTCTTTTCTATGTAAAATATCTGCATGAAAATTAATCTATAACTTTTTATATTCCAAAGACGAAACCAAGCACGTCCTTTCAAATGCAATCACCTTACAAGTGAAAATCGATTATTCATGAATGACAAAAAATCGTGTCGTTATTGCATCGTATGCTACAACGCTTTTGAAAAAGCTATCTTGAATGATAAACAGAAGGTCGATCCGTTCTATTTAAAGTTTCTATTTAAAGTTTTCCATATTAAAGACTCATAACGTAAAACAGATATATGAACAATTATGATAAAATATACAAAATTATCGCGAATGCACAGAATCGTCGACAACTTGTTCTTCGCTTCTAAACACGCGGGAATGCAGAAAGTTCGTTGCAGAGGCGTTGCTCCTGTTTGTAATCTCTTTATCAGCACGTGGCTGGCACGTAGCCAATCGACTTTCTCCCCGGTATAGAGCAGCGACCTATTCGCTTCGATTTGCTCTAACCACTGTTCTAGATCAGCTAGAGCATTGACCGAGAAGAGAATAGACGAATAATAGCGTAGCACGCACGCACACCTGAATATCAATCGATTAAACTGTCGTTCAAATTCAAGCCGATTTACGAAATAGCAAGTTCACAAAGATATGCCATCGAACGGAACTAATTCTATTAACGTATATTAAGATTAAACGAAGTTTATGAATTCTATGTGTTATAAACGATCAAAA